AGAGCCTCCACAGTGTCATTCCCTCCACACTGTAAAATGCTTTCTCGTAGTCAATGAAGTTGATGTTCGGTGGTGAATTCCATACAGTTGATCGTGCCACAATGATCCGTACTGTTTTAATTCAGTCGACATATGACTGATACTTGCGGAATCCAGCCTGCTCATTTCGAACTTTAGTGTCTACTGAATTATCCATTCAATTAAACAACACACTGTTTGAAGATTTTTCTTGGTATTGAGAGATGGCTGTTGCCTCAAACTTGTTGTGAAGGCCTTTCTTTGTTATTTTGATGAGGTGTGCTTTTAACCAGTCTGTTGGTACTTGTTCTTCATCTTAAATGTTAAGGCCACATGGCCTGTCCAAGCTTTTCGGCAATCTAATTAACTTTTTCTGCCCAACTTTACTGCTCATACGTTTTGCTTTTACTTGATTACACGTGTCCTTTGCTTAATTCACTTGTCACATGTCTAACTTATATTTGTCTGACCACATATAACTCAGTTTTTACCTTCATCTTCTCATTGAGTTAGCTCATTCGACTATTCCTCTTTGCTACGCTTTGCTCTGCTTTGCTTTTACACTTTGTATACTCATGTCGGTCTGCATGAAATAAACTCATCCAACTGTATCCGTGCATTTAGCTTCTTATTACCGTCATCGCACAAACGAAGTTCGCCTAAGTACAATCAACTTAAGCTGAAAAGTAGATTGTATGTTATAACATATTCAGTCATTCATCTAAATCAGAGTCCGATCACCAGTCATTAGAAGAAGTTTCTACAACATGAAAATCACCATTGGGAATTGAACAGTTTCTTCATTAAATCAAAACATAATTTGTATGCAATGAAAGAGAAATTTTTCTAATTCTGATAAAATTATTCTAGTTATTCACAATCTTTTATTGTTGTTTACAGCATTATATACATAGTTCTTCTATTAATATGGGTATTCGTCCCAGTATTAACACGAAAATATCCTTACAATATATTGTATCTATTATTGATGGTGAGTGTGTATGTACATAAATGGTTACGTTTCAATTGAAGTATGTACGCATTAAAAGTTAATAAGAAGCGGTTTCAGTTTAAAACAGCTTAAATGCATGAAAACTGCAGGGTAAATTTCTACTGACTTATCTATCTAACTATCCACACATCTATCTATTTATCTATTGATTCAAGACTGTCCAAATAATCTCTTAAGTTGTCTACTAACCAACGTTTAACTTTACAGTTTTATTGATATCATCTTTGAACACCTGAAGTACTGGACTATCATTTCATTTCTAGTATATGTCCTCCTCCAACAGTACACATACAGAAAACATGTCGACCTACACATTATTATCTAATTAGTAATTGACCATGTGATGTCAACTTTACATAAACACCAATTATTACATGTTTGTAGATTGTTTTTTTTTCCTGCTCACATTATATTATCATCATTGAATATAAGTAGTATAATCTCGCAAGCTGTTATTATTATTATTATCGTTTTTATTATCATTGCAGACAATATTTTCCACGATTGCAATTGCATCCAATGCAACTTTGTACATTGACGAGATTGTTTATGAAGTTCTTCGCGTGTCTCAGTGACCTTGTTCAACTACATAATTTGCATTACAGCTATTCTACAATATGATATTAGGTCGAACATTATGTCATCAATATGATTGTTACACTAATTAGTGATATCCTTCTTACCATTGGACAGATTTGTTACATCATACTGAACAAGTATGAAGTAAGTATTTTAATTTTTTTTTACAAAATTTTCGTTTCATTTAATTCTGTCAGTGAGTCTATGCCATCATTCTTCGTTGTAAATGCCCAAAGATTGCTTGGATTGAACCTGACTCATGAACTGATCCAATGTTATACTAGCATTTATTAAACCATTTTATTGGATACTAGAGTCCTCAACGTTGCGCATCTGCGCGAGCCTTTCAAGCAGGAATGAAACCAAGAAACTTCGGTCTCGTGCATGAATGCCTAACTTATTGACCAGTGAGCCGGTGTTAATACCTAAACTTCACTCATAGAGTTATAAATTCGTGTAAAAATTGTCAGTCTTACAGTAGGAAAGCGTGGCCAGTTGAGTTTCTGCTAATAGAGAAAAAAAAACACCTCATTCATTTGTACTCATCAATCAATAAAGTTGAACATCTGAACGATTGAATCATCAATCAATGGGCTTAAAGGTAATATATACCCGTCATTACGCTAGAAAAATCCTGAATTGTATACAAATATTGCGTCGTTTATGAGTTTATATTTACATAGAGTCTTAAACTTATCTACTTACTTACTACTTACTGACTTACTTACTTTTCTTACTACTCACTTACTTACGCCTGTTCTCTTAAAGGAGTATAAGCCACCGACAATCATTTCAGCTTACTCTTGTAGTGAACGAGAACACAGGTGGGGCAACCGAATTGTATTTAACGAAAATTACAGAGTTACTCAGTAAAATCGGAAAACCATAACGTAAATCGTTAATTTGCAAAATATCAGTTCATCATATCGAACTGAACTGTTCCTGTTGCAAAACATCAATCCATTGTCACTATTCATGCGTTTCACACAAATTCCATTGTTTTCTAACTCTTCCTTTCTCGATCTTCCCCCATCTTCCGCTGCCAGACATTACGTTGACACTCACGTCATATACTACTTATAGGTAGCTCCCACCACACTCTGTCCGCCGCTCTAATTTCCAGCTGTTTCCAGTTGCTATTCATTCTTCTCATCTCTGTCACCGTTTTAGAATACAATGTGCTTTTTGGTCTAGCTCTTTCGTTTTGACCATGAGGATGCCAAGTCACGGCTTGTCTGATGAATCAGTTGGATGATTTCTGTAATGTATGTTTTATCCACTCTCAACGCTTTTTCCTTATTTGTTCCTCGGCTGATGGAATCACACTTGTTCTCTCCCACAGTAGATTATTGCTGATGGAAATATTATCTTTAATAATGCTTTGACTCGAGAAAACTAGTCTGGTTTCAGAACTGACCGTGAATGTATAGATCATGTATTCACACTTCGTCAGGTACTAGAACATAGACACACATACATACGTCCGACGATAGCTGTATACCTGGAACTGAAGGCGGCGTTTGACTCTGTCTACTGTGACGTTCTTTGTGTCTGTCATTGAGAGGTGTACCAAAGAGTTACACTAACTTTGTACAGGCTCTCTACTCGAACAGTACTGCCTGAGTCAACGCCTATGTTTAATTGTCGTCCAGAGTGATTACTTCAAGTGGTATTCTTCACGGATGTCAACTCTCTCCATTCATATTAAACTTTGTTATTGACATGTTCTGAGAAATAACATTATATTCGTGTGAATGTTCAGGAACAGAATTTTTACTAGGAGATTAACTTCTCAACTTAGAATATGCCGATAGCATAGTTCTATTTGGTGAAGGCGCTGATAAAACACGGCACATTTTGACCTCCCTAAACAACAATCCAAGCGTGTTGAGGATGCGATTCTCCCCGTCGAAATGCAAAATGTTGCCTTAGGATTGGGCTGAATCGTCAGCTGAACTAGTAAAAGGGAGTGAAGTAGCTGAGTGTGTTGACTGATTCACTTATCTCTGGGGTCTCGTCAATACTGAATGCTTGTTGTGTGACGAAATCTTAGCATGGATACAAAAGACTCGACTGGCTTTTGCCAACCTTCCTCACTTATGGTATAGGCGAGGTATCAATCTGCTAACCAAAGACAGAGTGAACTGCGCAGCACTCCGCTCCATCCTACTTAGAATATGCCGATAGCATAGTTCTATTTGGTGAAGACGATGACAAAACACGGAGTCTTCTGACCTCCCTAAGCAACTATGCAAACATGTTCGGAATGAGATTCACCCCGTCGAAATGCAAAATATTGCTTCCGGATAGACTTGAATCGTCAGCTGAACTAGTGATAGGGATTGAAGCAGTTGAGTGTGTTGACTGATTCACTTATCTCGTGAGTCTTGTCAACGGTGAATGCTTGTTGTGTGACAAAATCTTAGTATGGATACAAAAGGCTCCACTGGCTTTTGCCAACCTGCCTCCCTTATGGCATAGGCGAGATATCCATCTGCTAACCAAAAGGACGAGTGTACTGTGCAGCAGTTCTCTCTGTCCTACTATATGGCTGTGAAATAAAACAGAGCATATTCGTGGGGTCCTACTTTTCAATTATAGGTTTATGCGAAACATGTCTCATATATCCGTGGAACATCGAGGAAGCAGTACTGTTGTTAGAAAAAGAGTACTAGGTAAAGATGGAAGATCAATAGATGAAGTATTGAAACTTCCTCATTTTGGTAGGTTGGGAAACGTGGTACGTTTGCCCAACCACCTACTGCATCGACCAGCTATGTTATCTGATACAGGAGTACACGAGAAGAAGGCTAAGGGGCAACCAAACTAAAACTTGTCACAAATACAAGAAGTCACTGACAGGTGCACAACGCCACGTTTCTTGGTGTAGACTACGAGGTTGGGGGCGGGAGCATGTCTCAAAATCGTTTTCCATTATCGCTAACACTTCTGACGCCTTTCATACTACAGCATTTGACTTGACAGTTCGATTGATTTGTGGTAATGTGGTGTAGCATCGTGAACAGGTGTACAGAGTACAAAGCTCTACTTTGTATCTGACTAACTGCTTGGTGGACAAAACTCCACATTGAATTTATTCATTTGTATTTCAAATTTCTCCCATCGTTGGCAAGAAATAAACTTCAACTATCAGTTTGTTGACTGATATTTTGAATTATTTTTCATGTAAATAAATAAATAACTCATAATCGGTAAATCGATGTACCGCAGAAGAAGAAGAAGAAAATGATGATGATTCATGAGAATGAAATGAATATTATTTGTTCAATATTCAATAACTAGATAAATAACTTTGTTTTACTTGTTTCATTTTCGACAAAAACAACACGTTGAGAATGTTCTTTTTTCTCATTTGTAATTTTCTAATTAGATTATACTTGTTGTTGCCGGTGTAATTACACTTCCATTTGCAAGTTTTGTAAGTTATTCGTATTATTATTTATGATTATTATTACTAGGACTGTGACATTTTGTTCAATACAGTTTATTATCAATTACTATCTCTGTACTTATATAATAAATGGTACTGTTGCGGTGTGGTTTTAAAGAATTCCCATCACATCATGTAGACTTCTGTAGATGATTGATTACACCATGTGGATGTGTGCACCAGTAAGCTATAGATCAATGATTTAGAAGGGTAAATGTTTTTCGTGCGAGATCAAAAATTGTTGAATGCGACGATGTGAAGTTCGTTTTATGAACGTTTTGGCAAATAATATGCAGCAAGAATGGAAGACTTCATTATTCTGTGCTTGAATGACGACTTAATACAATACTAATGATATTCCTTTTTATATATATACACGGCTAGATCAAATCGTACTAATACTGACGGAAACTTATATTTTAGAAAGAAATATATATTTCCAATCAATTCACACGACCTTTTTATGACATTAGTGGTACGATGCATGACGATAAAAACACTTGATACTGACTTCATAGTTTATGGCGAAATTTCATTATTTAAGCTGAATGATTTGCTCGTGGAAGTGTCTATTTTCATCGAATTAAAACACACCTGAAATGGAAATTCAACGAAGGAAAATAAAAATCCAGCCTACTGTTGGGGATGTTAGATCCCCAAAACTCGCTTGATAAAAGCCTTATTTCGGATTTCAAGTTTGCCAGCATGGACTGATCAGTTGAGCTTCAGATTTCATTTCCCACCACGAAATTCCATGACTGTGATGATTGGCTGCTGTGTATTTTAGTGTGCTATTTTCGTAACTGATCCAAGGACGTTTCTATAATGTATAAATAAACGAGAGTTGTGTGCTTGATTGTATTGTGATTGCTGGGTGTTTGTACAATATACATTCTGCGCTTATCACGTCTTCTGTTTTGAAGTTTGGGATTCAAGGTAGCATATCTGGACGCTGGTTCATTGTCTCGTTCGCGTTTATCGACTAAGGTGAACTCGTAATAACTTCGAGCGTACCTAGTGACGAACCTTACACCTACACATCACCTATTAGTTCACGATACATAGAAATCATAGCATCCATTCATAAGATTCTACTAGGGATCATCGGATAACAGAATTTCCAATGTGATCACTGGAAAAACAAACCATTACTTGATGAGTTGATCTAAAAGTTTTCGTTATTCAATGAATGAAATTATCAATGAATAAATTAATTAATTAATTAAAATTCCTAATTTAACTTGACATAAACTATTTTCTTTTTCTACAGAAATTATTATTTGAAATGAAAAAAATTTTCAGAACTGGTAAATTTGGTTATAAGAGAGAAGATTTGGTCTTAGCATCTGGAATTCTTTACAATTCTTGGTGGAGTTTATTTCTCACAGTTTTATGGACATCTTCAATGACAGGTTTAAATCAGACGAAATTAATAGATATCACTACTATTCCTACTACATGACATGGTCGACTAAATTGTTTGATTCTGCACAAATTTCATTCAATACTACTTATTTTTAAAGGATAGTAGTATTACAGGAATGTTTTTCATTTGTTATGCGTCTGTTTTTTTGAGAGACAATTTTTCATTCACGTTTCTCCAAATAAACATCTACATTTCAATGTTCAGTGTGTTATGAAAGGTGATTGTGTTGCTGAGGGTTATGTCTTCTCATCACAATCGGCAAATCCCTTGACGGGCATCTCTTGACGATTGACTATTACCTGTCATAGGAGTTGATGGGTAACGGGATCATTGTTACCGTGGATTGACGCATAGCATTGAATGATATTGATTGTAGTGTCATATCGTTTTGTCATGGAGGATGCATTGATGATTTTGGGTCGTAAGCTTCTTTAGATAACATCAATGTGAGATATTAGCTTCCGTATGACTAAAATACAACAGTACCTCTCCACCAAAATTAAGTTTTCCGTCTAAATTATATCCAAATATGTTTCAATTATTCCAAGTACCACTAAAGTATATCATCGCATTTTTCTGCATCGGCGTAAATGTTGCGTCCGTTCTACCACATTGTGCGGACATTGCATGTACCTATCTCAATTATTGATTTGGTCAGCTGAAGGAATATTATTGAAGGAACTCAGCTTCCATTATTAGGCATCATAACTCTATAACTCTGAGGAAAGAGTTCATATGATTGAAATGATTTTCTGTGGTTATCATTTTATTAGCAAGTTAGTTTTCTACAGAAATTGTTGCTAACTCTATCCTAAACCCATATTTTTTATCTAAGGTTTAGACGGACATTACCACTAGAAGTGTCTAGATAAAGTGTCCATGCGGATAAATCTACAAAGAATATTTATCTGACTGGAATTTTTTAATAAAAATGTGTACAACACAATAACTACTTAAGTAGAACGTAAAGAATGGTTCTTAATACATCAAAAAATATTCAACTAGTCTCTTCCACCAAGACATTTCTGATATTTTTAATTGAAAATAACTAAATAAATCTTACTCCTCCTCATGAAGTTTAAGTCGCTGACCAGCCAACTCTGTCCCAGGCCTTTCTTTCCACTTCTACTTAATTACAGTTCATTCTTTTCATATCAGTCTTCAATTCTTGGCCTAAATGTGTATTTTGGTCTACAACCTCCTATTTGGCATTGAGTATTCCAAATGAGAACTTGCCTGTTTGACGTAGTCGGATGATTTCTGCACCTCAATCTCTGACTCCTCATTTCTTCCCCACTCAAAACGAATCTGGTTTATTCTCTCAATTAAATATATTCAGTAAATAGTCAGGTGTTGTTATTATTTAAACAACATTTGAGAGAAAAAATGATTTTGTTTATTTCAAAATGAAATATTGAAAAATAGTAAAGAAAATTCAAATCAAAACGCAACAATACACAACACTCGTTTCAATGTCCAATTAAATTTATTCCTGGTGTGTTTATCGACATGGATTAAAGTGCATCCATCAAATTGTTTATGATTATTTTTCAAAAACAAACAAAAAATTGTCTTTTGATCATGAACATGATGGATGACCAAAGCATCATCATCATTATCATTGAACATTGACAAAACAGAAATGGTAATCTTTTTTTGTTTGAGTAGAGGTAGGTTGACAATGCAGTTCTGATTATTATATGTGTAAATTCCAGTCTTTTGGAATCATTCATCAAATGGATATGGACACACAGTTTTTTATGTATATGAATGAGTTTTTCTTAGTAAATAATTAAGTTGTATTCATCATCATTAGTGATAATGACAAAAATAGTCAAAGTTCAATTCTGTGACTTCAAGTTACAATTAAGCTGATTATATATAAATATATTTAAATATGTATGTACGAATCAGTTGTGTAATTATTGTAATTTTTCAAATTCATGAAAATGTTAATAGAATTTATTAAAAATCCAACATTTCCACAAATCGCACACATAAAATTGTTAGAACATAGTGAAATATCATATTTTTAATGAGTTGAATTTCTTCATCAATCATCATATAGTCAAATTCTATTGAAGTGAAAAAACAGATTTATTGGAGTGTATTGGTGGATGTTGGAGGATTCAAACTGAAGACAATCGACTAACCTCTGGATTACCGAGCCGGGATTCAACGGAGTTCATATATAGCTGTGATCACTCTAGGTAGTTTACGCGGCGTCAGTCAGTTGTCTTCAGTAGTTCCTGCCTACTTTATACAGTGGTGAACCTCCACTGGTCAGATCTTCTCATTAGAACTCTGAGAATTTCCTCACGAAGCTAGTCACTAGTCAACATCTTGTGCAATATTTTTCGTATTCAGGAGTGTACAATACCGGGTATTCATAATGTAACAACTTTATCGTTTTATTCTCGATTTATTTTCAAATCTAATTAAATCCTCGCTTGCTTTTAATAGTTCACATAACATCACAGAAAGAATGAGACGTCATTGTGAAATTGAAAATGTGGTCAACACTCACAAACAATTAGGAAAGTTTCGTTTGCATTCGTCACAACAAAAAGTATCAATTGGTCGAAATCAATATTCAAGTGATGAAAATATTTTCACTTTGAATGTAAGTAAAACTACATTTCATTCTATACGTAATTCATTAATTATCCGGTGTGATGTGTGTTTTATTTTTCACATACCTGACTGACTGAATGAATTCTTGTTGTTGTTCTAACATGAGTATTGAATATTGAAAGATAAACTGGTATCATTTATTGAATGATTGAAAATGTATGTATATATGTTTACGTTTATTGACAGTTGAACTTCGTTACATTCAAAAAAAGTTAGTTTTCGTCATCACAGTTCAATAGATTTTTTAAATGTGTACTTATAAAAAGTACTGTCTAGAAATTGATTTGTTTCAAACAAAATTCAAATCATGAATCGGTCAATGTTAGATCACTATTAGAAATGTGAAAGTACTGGAAAGACGTTTTGTCTTGGTAAAGGACTCATCAAGACTGCAGATTGATTGAAGTTAGTCTCTAACACACTTGGATGAGTGGTCTATGGGTAAAGCGTGAGCGAGCAAGACCGAATGTCCTTGGTTTGATTCTTGCGAGATGAATTAATGGAGTCGTATACTGTTGATGAGCCGCAGACCAGGATGAAACGGCGATCATCCAGCTCTTTCAAGATTTTAATGATTTCCTTAATATTGATCAATTCATGATCAATTTATGATGAAACTCAACAACCTTCACAAATAGAATTCAATTGTCTAGCCTCCTTCGCATCACAAATTTCATCTTCCTTAGACAAATGAAAGTATACTTTGGTCAAATCTTTATTCCTTATTGTTAAGGTATATTCATGATTGGCTAAGTGAACTTTGTTGATAAAGAACAAATCAGTGAATAATATTTTCATCCATCTCTCTTTATTAATGTACAAGATGGTTGAATTTTCCTCACTATATTACGTAAATTCAACAGTTGCTTACTTAATTACTTACTTACTTATGCACTTACTTACTTACTTACTTACTTACTTACTTACCTACTTACTTACTTACTTACTTACTTACTTACTTACTTACTTACTTACTTACTTACTTACTTACTTACTTACTTACTTACTTACTTACTTACTTACTTACTTACTTACTTACTTACTTACTTACTTACTTACTTACTTACTTACTTACTTACTTACTTACGCCTCCTACACCCAATGGAGCCTAGGCTGCCAACTAGCATTCTCCAATCTACTCAGTCCTCGACCTTTCTTCCTAGTTCTTTCCAATTGCCGTTCATACTTTCCATATCTGTCTCTGATTCTCGGTGTAATGTGTTGTTTGGTTTGCCTGTTTTTCTTTGATATTGAGGATTCCGAATCAGTGTCGGTGTTTGTGACGTATTAGATTACTATCCTCAATATATGTACTATCTACCTCTTACACTTCTTCCTGATTTCTTCTTCTTCTGAGATCTGGTTTGTTCTATCCCACGGCAGATTGTTCCTGGTTCAACATTTGCACTACACTAAAAATTATCATCTCTCTTATGAAATTTTTTTTCAGTTACCGAATGTCATATAATTTCATATAATTTGAGTAATAAATTAGAACTTTTATTTCAGAGACATTTGATTAATTTTCACTATACGGTTGTAGAAATTGTTGAGTTTCATTGAAATCGTAAATCGATCAATGTAAGACCATCATTAGATTTTTGTAAGCACCGGATGGCCATTTTGTCCAGGTATTAAACTCATCAGTAGTGAGCATCCGTAGACCCCAGTCCGAAGGAATTGAACCAAGAACCTTCCGTCGTACTCACGAACCCTTAACCTGTTGACCCTGGCATCCAATAGTGTCATTGTTTAACTGCGATCAATCCGCAGTCTTGCACGACTGTTATTATTAACTTACATCTGAAATACGTTGACAAGTGTATACATGTGATCGGATCATTCGAAATATGTTAAGCGCAAATATATCGTCTATCTTCAAAGCAGCTACATACTCTGATTGTTCGATCAACATTTCTAAATTCGAACTAATTGTTTCGAACAATTTCACTTGATCAAACTATCAAAACATTTGAATTCGTATATAAAACATGTAACTCCATTTCCAGAATGATAATATCATTTCAATTAAAACAAAGATGCACTCAATATCAAACGAGTATCTACCATAATACACTTTTACTTTCTAGATTTAATTGATCTGCAATATATAAAATGAAATAATGCTTGCTTGTCTATTCTACATTTTTTACAGGTATTTGCAATTAGTATTCTTCAATTGGCAATCAGTTTTGCTGGAATAAACTTATTTATTCAAATGTATGTCATTCTGTTGTTGTTAGTTTTTTCTGTTCATTGAATAATCTGCAAATGAAATTTCATTTTTAGTCAAGCGATCCGTCAATGGACTAAAGAGAATCAATTAATTTTATGGATATTCAGGTAAGGAAATAACTGTGTTCACGATCGATATCCAACAATAATATTTATTATTATTATACATAGTGAATATTTGATTAATTGTCCGTTACAGAACAGT